TTAGCCTTAGCCCTAGTCTTAGCTTTAGCCTTAGCCCTAGCCCTAGCCCTAGCCTAGCTGTTTTCCCGGTTTCTGATCTTCGCCTGGTTTCCTGGATTTCTCCCTTAGTCTTGCCCCTTCTGACTCTGTCTGCCCATCGTCGACCCACGCTAGCCCTAGGACTGTTCTTGTGTCTTGCCCACCATATACCTGTCTGCCTCTGTTTAACCCTGCCTGCTTCATGACCACGTCTCTGTCTTCTCCACAATAAAGCCTTGCAGATGGATCCGCACGTCTCACGTCTCGTCAGTTCTGTAACAAGTATAATGAATAAATATTTACATCAAATCTGATACTTTAATCTGTTAACTTGCGTACCCGTATTTTAATCTCTTTAACCTATAGTTGCGCCGGCGCCAATGAAGTCATGCAGTTAACGCGCTTCTAATTCAGTATTAATGTCCACCCAGAACGACAGCAGATGAGGCATTAAGTGCATGGCACTGCGACCAACTTTACATTTTACAGAGTTTAATGTGGTCGCTCAGTTTTTCTAGATCAGTTTTAATCGTGTAATAGATTTGAACAAAGAAATCAATTGCTACACAAAGGCAGTATGGGCCATGACTTGATTGCAAATACAAATACAAAAATTAGACGAGTAAAGAAAACGCGGTACTTATTAAAAGAATCACCCTTTTATTTAAATATATGAAAACAGGAAACCGCTGTTAACAGGTTAATGTAACATTTCCCATTCAATGACTAGTAAAATAATGGCAACTTACTGTCTGGATAATATTGAACATGGTTCTTCTGAGATATATTCATCTGCAGACCCGCAGCATGGATACTATTGGTTCTTCTTGGAGTAGTGCGGCCCCACACTGCGTCTTCTTCTTGTGTGACAGATGTCAGTGTTAAGGCGCAATACTGCCACCTGGGAGGTCAAACAGGTACTGGCGCTGGAGTAGGCTATTTGCGTGTTGTGTTATCATAAGTGTCCTGTTCATTTTAAATATCATGGTTATCATCAATACCGGTATATCGTCATACCCTAAATTAACACGATGGCGATATTTCATGATTTGAATATCACGGTTATCGTCAATACCGGCATATCGCGACACCCCTAGTTTCAAACCATGAATTTTTAAAGAGTATCCTGTCCACTCAAAAGTCAATGAGGAGCGGGGCTGCCAAGCTTCCAAAAGGATGCAAAAGTAACAAAGTATTATAAAAGTGGACTTGTGTCTTCTGTGTCTTCTGAAGGCATATGATACCTGTGTGTGATGAATAAACATAATAATAATAATCCTTCAGATATATTTATATATAAAATTATGGTCACACTTAAGTTTGGGGACCAATTCTCACAACTAACTATTAACTACTACTTCTGTCTCCATAAACTCCCAATTTGCTGCTTATTAATAGTTAGTTATGTAGTTGTTAAGTTTAGGTATAGGATTAAGGGATCTAAAACAATGGCCATGCAGAATAAGGCATTAATTTGTGCTTTGTTCGTATTAATAAACAGCCAATATGCTAGTAATATGCATGCTAATAAACAACTAGTTAATAATGAGAATTGGTCCCTAAACTAAAGTGTTACCAAAATAAGCTATTTAATTATTACCATTAACTTATTTTATAAAGATATTTTAAGGCTTCTCTTGCTGTTTTATATGACTCTTTTTTTTGTACTTGAATGATTGAAATTTCCTCCTCCACTATATTGCAAATATTTGTATTTTAAATAACATTTAAATTCTAATCATATATTATAAATATATAATTGAAATGTTTATATTATATTTATTATATTATGTTTAATTATATTATTATTATTATCATTATTATTATTTTTTGTATAGTTTTTAATTGCTTATTTATTTATTGTTTTTTTAGACTTGGTTGAATTATTAATTTGCTATCATTATTGGAAATTATTCCTTTAGTACTTTGGGTTTAAGGATTTA